ATATTCTGTGAAGAAGGCATGTGAAGTGGGACTTTTGTCCCTCTTGGTTTTTTATCCATGCAGTATTAAGAATGGCAGATCTTTTCTCCTTGGCTTCAGTTGGAGCTCTCTTTTGAAGGACCTGGATATTTCTGAACCCCTAACTAAAGCTATAAAGATGCGAAACCTTTGACTCGAGAGCATTTCTTCCATTTCTGTCTCTATAAACACAGAACTGCAAGTAAAAATAGTAATGTAACAAATTACAGTGCTGTCTGCCAGGAACATTTATATTTGTAGTCCAAGTCACAATCTAACCCTAAGCGATTTGCCCACCGTCACCCATCACAGAGAAAATAACAGAACCACATGTTTCCTCACTTTTAATTTTATTTTATCCATGGAGCCATATTGCTATAATTATACTGGTTTTTCAAAGCCATGGAAATGATGAGCTATTGAGCATTTAACTATTTTTGCCACTAAATCTAAAAAAAAGTGAAAGATATTCCCTCCATGAAATGCTTCTGAATCTGTCCCCAGCAAGTTAATGAGGGTGATGCTTGAATGATGGCCAGAATGGGCTATAGTTTGTGCCTTCAGTTTAGAAGAAGATATATTGGCCTATCTTTGCTTGATCTCCGATAGTGAAATATAAAAATAGAACTACTCACTCCAGAGGGCTCCAAGGGCTCCCTTCATTAACGGAAAAAAATCCATCACTTGCAGCACTGCAGCATGGATAGATTTTGAAGATGTTTAATCGCTAGTAAGAATGCCAGAACCCCAGCCACACTAATGCAAAACTATATATCGCTTACAGTAGGTCATTTGGGTTTGAGATAGCTAAAGTTTTCCTTATAGTCTCCAAAGTAAAGGAATGTTAAGAGTCTGTGGTGAGAATACTAGTCCGTAACAGAAATGATACTGGGAATATATTAATACTATTTTGAAGGACAGGTCAATGATGTAGGTTACTTGTGCATATGCAATATATTTTATCCCAGGACTGAGGATGAGCTAAGGTATCATTTTGATCTATACCATGCTTCCTCTTGGCAAATGTCCCAGCAGCTGTAAGAAACTCTTAAATGTCAGAGTTGACATTATTAAGGATAGGAAGCTCTGAATTCTCAGGACTAACCTATATTGTGTGGCTTCATCATTAAAACTTAAGCCCTTCCTTTACTTGTTCTTGAAAGTTCCTGGATATGTAGGTCTTTGCTTTCTGGCTTCTTGCTGAGGAAGATGGAAAAAACCTGTAGCTGTGGGCTACACCTTAACTGAGATGTTCTTATTTTTTTTAGAGGGGACATAGCTAAAGCAGGAAGTTTTCTCCATTGGATGAATACACATCAATAGCTTTCCTTGTTATGACATGGCCTAGGTTATGAAAAGAGCTTTCTGTTCATGGGTGCACCATCCCATTGCAGTATCAAACAAAGGTGTCCTCCTGTGGTATTCAAGTCTACACGATACCCTTAGCTTCTGGCAGTGTTCTTCGGGATGAAGGCACTATGAACTTGCATAGAGGATCCTTGACATTTTAGCTACATGGTTCCCATTAACATCAAAGCACTGCTCAAACACCTCCCCCAGTGTACCACCAGAACCCTATGCACTTACTTGTAAAGGTATGCCAAGTACCTGAGAATTAATAAGTAGGGAATGGGAATCCATATTTTGAAAGTAATAGGCCAAATCTCAAAATCCCTACTGTAGCAAATCTCCAGCTGACTTCCTCAAGCTAAGGGACACCCAGCCAGCACATGCAAATTACTGCATCAACTAGTCCAATGAGTCCTTAAAGAGTTTGGAGATAAAGTAACAGTAGTTCCTTATCCCCAGATGCCCCTTAGAGCCACAGGAGTTTCATTGGAACAAAGAATTGTGAAACTGCGGAATATAAGGAGGAAGCATCTCATTTGTAAGCTGCTCCATTTAACATATATTAGACTTTACAGGTGTTCAAGGATAATGCAGTTAGGTTCAAGTGCCAGTAACATGGCAGAAAAGTTAGTAAACAGGAGCAAGGCTCATGGAGTTAGGGCTGCATGAGCCCTTCAAGGTTTTATAACTAAAGGGGATGCGGGTAGGACCCTGAAGCTTGATTCATAGTAGCTAGAAGTGAACCAACTCCTTGTGCAGATTTACTCACACAATTGATTAGGATTAACTCTAACCTCCAGAGGCTGGTTTCTCTTCTCTCTCTCTTACTCAGAGCCCACTCTCTCTTTCATCCAGTCCTAGGAGCAAGGGAGAGAGGTTTTTATGAACACCTTCTCTCCATGTTCACAGGCACTGTGCAAGCAGGGGCTGAGGTTTGGGATTGCAAAAGCATAACTTGTCAGTACTGTGTATTTAGGTGGCAGTAGTGCATGCTCCAGCAGCCAGAGGTTCACTGGTGCTGGGGGAGAAATCGCCTCCTTTTTTTTGCTGCCAACATGCATGTCAACTGGCAAGAAAAATCACCAGTTTTTGGCAGCAAAAATGGAGGCGACATCTTCCTCCACAGCAGCAAACCGCTGGCCACGCATGGCTGCTGTCCTCCCTGCTGCTGGAGCAAGAGCTACTGCAGGGAAGATAGCATGCAGGACAGGGAGGAGGCTGGAAATGCACCCCCTTTAGGCAGTGCCTAGGGCTCATGCCCCACTCACCCACCCACCGTTATGATATTGTGCAACTGCGTTAAACCTCAAGCCCAATCCTCAATACAAGCAGGTTTTAGATTCACGGAGATTTTTCCCAGCCCTGCTTAAAACCATAACCATTTCTTAACTTGTGTTTCCTGAATGCATTAGAAACCTCTTAGACTTCAGCACCATATGGAAGCTTTATACCACTTACTGGACATAAGAATAATTACTGGCCTGCATGCTGAGACATTAGATGAAGAACATTTCTACTTCTGTTTGTGTTTCAGAAGCATAAACACCCCACAAAGAAGGAGCAGGCACTGCACAGCCACTCCTGGGGGAAGCTGAAATGACTTCAAGGCCGAGAATAAGCACACTGTCCAGGCTGTGCCCTACTGGGGCCCAGTTATTTTCTTTTACATCAGACTTATCTTTCTTCTTACTTTACCCCTTCCATGGTTGCCTGACTCTTGATTTCAAAGCTGTAATGAAGAGACCACACACCAACCCCATTTCTACTCCTTGTGATGTCACTGGTAAACCAAATGCAATAAAACGTTTGTGCTGGGTCATTTTATGAGATTTAGTTCAGGAAGTTATCAGAGTCACAGTTGTAATCGCACAGTTTCACTATATAGGTTAGCTTATGATTTTAAGACTGTCATGCGCCATCTTATTTTTCTCAAAGATCCAAATATTTCTACTTGGCTTGTCGGCAGGACACCATCTCTTGTGTTCTCATCAGACCTTTTAGATAAACTTGATCAGGCACAAATCAGTACTTACCCCAGTTACCCTCCATGGACAAGAGAGGTCACAGGAAGTAGTCTGGAGGTAAGCAGATGGGTCTGGAGGACTCATGCTTGTGTTTCAGTCTGTCCTGAAGCACAGGATAGCGCTAGGAAGCTCTGCGCATTAGAAGACACTGATATGCTAGGGAAACACAAAAAAACTCCTGTGATACAGATCAGGTGTGAAAAGTGGTATGTGATCTCACAAAACTAAAGAATTGTACCCAGGTTGTGGTCAAGTGGCCATCTGGGAGATTACATTCTGTGCCCCAAACCTCCCCCCCTTCAGTACAAATTGCATTTCTTGTTCTAGGCTGGTGAGTAATATTACAGCACACTCTTAAATAGCTGTCCCATTTCACCCAAGAGGTGCATGAAGTCCTGCCAATACCTATGGCAAGTATATGCTTTTCAATAAAGTGCCCATATATGATCCAAATCAGTGATTCTCAACCAGGATATCAAAGCACCCTGGGGTGCCACCAGTTCCTTTGAAGGGTGCCTTGAGATGTGAGGAGATAAGCTAACTAAATAAACCCAGGCTCAGGTTTGGCCCTGCCTGAACCACCCCCCACTCCCACTGCCCAGCCTCTCTACAAGGAGGTAACCACTCTACCATATATATTATTTTTTGACATTGGGTGTTACTTGATTCTCAAAAGCTATGGAAGAGTGCCTTGAGTCCAAAGAGGAATGACTCAAGTCCAAAAAGGTTGAGAACTGCTGATCTAAGTACTATTTGGAAGCAATGCTAACAGGTATCTAGGCTCAGTTAATGTACCTGCTGATGCTCAAAACTGTGTGCGTTTCCTTTGTCTACGGGTAGTCATGGGTGCTTAGAATCTGCACTGGGAGCTTGACGCATTTTGCTCCCTATGAAGCAGAGCTCTGTGGTTTACAGAAGTCTACAGAGATTCACACAAGTTTAGAGCTGGAAGGGACCTCGTGAGATGATCGGGTCCAGCCCCCCCTGCTCTAGGCAGGAAAGACCGCTGGGGTCAAATAACCCCAGCAAGGTGTGCATCCAGTCTCCTTTAGAAGATCTGCAGGGTAGGTGCCTGCACCACCCCGGCTGGGAGTCTATTCCAGTCTGGTCACACGAACCTTAAAGAAGTTTTAAAATCTTTTTACACTCTCTCTAGCATACATTTTGCAGCTGAACCTATGGATTCACACCTAGACTTTAACTAACACCCTTCCTACGTGCAGCTCAGCACACAAACCCCATAGCTAGACAACAAGACTGACACCTTCCCCTTCCCAACCTCCCTACCTAGACCAGGCACCAAATTTTTTTTTTCACATGCCCCACTTCTAGGCTGACTCCCTGGGCCCAGCCCCATTGCTTAAACTCACAACCTTCCCAGGCCAAGCTCAGCACCCAGAGACCTGAGCCACAGAGCAAGTCCAGATACTAAAACAGTTTAATACTCCATCACCTTAACCACTTAACCCAGGAAGCAGGTTTAGATGCTGCAGCAGCACGAGCTGTCAATCAAAGTCCCAAGGGGTGGGGAAATGGAGCACCTATTGACTCCAGGATCAATCCCATTACGATGATAGGAAAGCTTGCATTGTGGTGAAAGGTGAAAAAAGACACTGCTGGGATTTGAACGTAGGATCCCCAGTTTACTAGACAGGTGCTTTAACCAACTCAACCACAGTGCCCAAGTAGAAGGACCCATCCTTCGGCCCCACTCCTGTGAAGAGCACTTGACTCTGTAGCACACTGTAGAAATAGCAGCAGCAGCACACTGAGGATGAGCCCACCCTTCCCTTTTCTGGTCCACACATATAGTGGCTCCAAACCGTAATTTCTCGGATACAGCGCTGCTGCATGCTACCCGCTGCAAGCTGGGGCTGAGAACTGGATGCCAAAATTGATCCAGAAGCTGGGATCTTTCAGGATGAATGTGGCATATGGAAAAGCAACTAAGAAACACAAGATTAGGATATCATCTAGAATCAAATACTTGGGGCTAGGTTTTTACACGTACGAGGGAACGGAAGGTGAAGCAGTCTCCTGAACTGACTGAAAGCTACATCTATAAAGGAAGGGAAGCCTGTTTTGATGCTTCATTTTGTTAATAAGATGCAACATAAAAATGACTTCCTAGTTATTATGCTGAAAGATGTCATGCATATTCACAACCAGTCTCTGAGGAACTGAAACAATTTAGACAAGATGAATTACCAAAGACATGAAAGGAACCGACTTCCCGATCCATTTAATGATTAGATGGCATCAACTGTTAAATATAACGACTGAGACAAAAAAAAATGTATATGCATATTAAGTGTAATCACAAGAAGTTCCTGCTCAGTTTTGCAAGCTCAAGACAACTTCAGCCTCACTAACATAACTACGGGTAAGGGAGCGGGGCATCCACCCTGGGAGCCCCGTTAGGAGGGGGGTTAGAATCGGTCCCCCTCCATAGCGCCCATGCCCTAGCAGCACACCCATGCTGGGGACTGCATTCAGAGCAACAGCCGGGGAGCAGCGCATGTAGCAGTGGCTCAGCCAGGGACTGTTTCGGAGTTCCCAGCATGGGTAAGACTGCTACCCTCCACCCCTGCTCTCTGACCCGTGTGCCCCCCACTCTTGGAACCTGCACGTGCAGGGCCGGCCCACCATTTTTTGGGGCTCCCTGGAAGAAATAGTTTGGGGGCCCCCTAATGCAAAGAAGCCGATGGTGGCAGCAGGGAGATGGGGGTGTGGCGAGCAGCAGAAGAAGCTGGCAGTGGTGGGGGCGAGCGGCCGGTTGCAGGCGGCCCCTTGCTGAGGGGCGCCCTGAGACCACAGGTTTCGCAGGATAGGACGGGCCGGCCCTGTGCGCATGCCTCCCACCCCATGCCCCCGCTCTTGATATGTGTGTGCACCCCTGCTCTCTTGCAGCGTTTGTCTCAGCTTCCAACTCTGCTTCTTAAGCCATGAACTTCAGCTTTCATTTGAACTGGCTTGCGTTTTGCTTTTCTTAAAAACAAAACAAAAAAAAATCAAATTTTGTTCTTTACCCCTATGGTAATTCTCCTCAAGCTTCACTGTGGGGAGATGGGGAAAAGACTCCTAAGCCATTGCATCATGGCACTTCAAGGGGTACAAAGAGTTTGCCTAGGGTAAAGGATTCACTATGTATATTCATGAAAACTCCTATTGTAACTGAGTGGCTGATGAAACATCCTATTTCAAGTCCTCTTTCTCAGTTCACAGAGTCGCTGCTGACTTCAGCAGAGACTACCTTCTCATTTGCAGATTAGTCAAACAGAGAGCTATAGTACTGAACATTCAAAGCACTTCCGGTTAACAAAACCATATAAATAATAAAGTAGCTTTAAATCATTATAGTAGGTTGCAATTTTATGAGTCCAAAGCAAAAAACTGTTCTTCAGGAGTATTCAGTGACTAAAAAAGGTGCACACGATAAAGCTTCTGTGCTAGCTGTGGTATATTAATTCTTCACAGCACTGCAGCAGTGACTCTGACCAGGTAATACAAAAAAAAGAAAATCAATGATGTTTTATTGACGAGGTGCTTGCTATCCATGTTTTCTACCATCCTGCCTATAGCAATAGAAGATGAAATGTACATCTGAGCCGTGCCTTTGGTAATTTAAGCTTTCAAACAGAGAAATCGAACTGAACATTTCATTTTCTAGTTAAAAAAATATCCAAAATCAAAACCCAGAGATGTGGATGTGATTCTCCAGCTCTCCGTGGAGCAAATGAAACCATTCAGTTAAGAAAGCTCACAAAAAGATGTATATGGATACTGGAAGTAATAAGTTAAGCAAGCACACACAGTAAGTGAAAGACAGAGCATGTCTCTCTGGGCTTCTACAAGCAAGGTGTGAACTGCCTGATTTCTAAAGGCAGCTTCCTTCCATTGGTAATTAGTCCAAAGCAATTGTGAAATCACATTATTTTAAATGATGGGTAAACTACACCTCTTCCCTTCCCTGCTACTTCCAATGTGAAAAGTAGCAGCAGGGAAGGCTCAACTGCCACTGGAATTGACTCCACGTGGGTCGACTTTCTGCCTACCACAAGTTCCCATAGGAGACACGGGGAGCCTGTACGAGTACAAAGAGACTCCCACAAGGAGTCAGTTCCAAGACCAGGGCCTTACTTAATGGACATAAGACGGACAGCAGGAAGGGGAAGTGATAACACGGGTAAACAAAAAGGGAAAGGCATCTTTATGAGAGAATTTGGAAATACTCAGCATACTTCATTTTTTTTCTTGTGCGTTACTTAACTTTTTTCCTCTGGGGAAGGCAGAATAGAAGGTGTAGATACCAGTGGAGCTGAGACCAGGAGCAGGAAATGAGCTGAACAGAAGAAAGTTTTGGGCACAGTTTATAAAAGAAGTTGAGGACACTTAGACTCCGGATGAGAAAGAAAACAACCCTTAGTCAAAACTTCCATAATCAAGGTAAACGAGTTGTGCTGGGCGTACAGTATTCTCCTGCGTGTGCAAAAATCGGTAACAGTCCAGCTTTCACCAGCACTGCTTTGCTACTGTGCTGACTACAGTGGTTTACACACACAAGTAATAACACTCACATTGGCCTCCAGCTAGAAGCAAGGTAGAGAAATTAATTTTGCCTCCAACTTGCTGCTGCAAGGAAAGCTTTAAAAACGACTGTTTTAAAATTAAGTTACTAAGCAACTCTTCATCCCTCAAGGGACACTTCTCCAATACTGGGGCCGCTTAGGGGACTCCAAGGAATTGCTGGAGCTGGAGAACATGTACAGCCAAAGATAGTCACGATGACAGCAACACGTCTACTAGCCCATTTGGAAAATGAAAGGGAATCCAAAGAAATAGCCTTGACTGTCAGATTATCCTGAAAGTAGAGGGTTTCTTCTGCTAGTGATACAGGCCATGATTTGCTCATGGTATTGTCCAGGTGACAGGTGTCAAATAATTAGCAGTCTCTACTAGGCAATCCTGACTCATCACTCCCCTTAAGGCTGGCTCAGCTGCAGTGGTCTACCTCAAACCACCCAATTCAGCTTGTACACTTGGGCCAGTCTCTGGGCATTATGTTCAGTAAATCTGGCTCCAAAGGATGGCTCTGATTTACAGGATAACAGCCAGGACATTCAAATCATTAAACCACAGGTCTTAATACTATCGGTTTACATTATATTCTCCAATATTCTGTATTCAGAAATGAGACTTGAAACACCATTTTTAAAAGGGCATGTCACATCCAAGGCAGTAAGGTTGGAGGCTTCACTTGCCTGTGCAAGCATGAATCATGTCCTCATGTGCTCCACCTCTTGTGCTAGAACTGCTGTTCTCAGGGATTTGTGCAAGCTTTCCTTCTTCTTGCAATTTGTACAGTTCCCAATCTTCCCCATCTCCTGAGTTCCAGCTCCATCCCAGCCCAGAAACTCAAAACCAGTCGATACATACCCCCTGAAGCTACGTAGGAACCTCAAGTTTCACAACATTTCAAGAAAACCTGATTCAGGCAGGGTTTCCTTTCATCTAAATCCAGATTTGCTCAGGTGATTCACAGGTTGCAATGCACGGGAACTTTTCAGTGAAGCCAAGCTGAGTTTGCCATTAAACCCAAATGCCAGCAAGATTGCATGATTTGGGCCTTCATAAAAGAAGTTTTGTACAGTTTTTATGATAATTCAGGCTAGTGCCATCTGCTCAGAAGGATAAAAGCAGCAAATTAAAGACATAAGAATCCTGTTCTTACTAAGTGGCAAGAGATCTCTATTGTAAAACAGGCTATAATCCTTAACATGCTAAAAAAAGAGATTGTACAAAACAGTCTGCCAAGGTGTCATATTCATAGTATCTCAATAACACCAAACCCAGTTTGCTGAGTATACAAACAAAAAGCCAAATCCCTATCTGGCAAATGGAAATGGGGCTCTGAAAGTCCAGGAAGATCCTTTCCAGTCTTAGAGAAACAGAAAAAAATCCACCTTGTTCACTCATAATTATCGTGGCACTGCAGAACCCGTAGGCACAACAAGTTCCAAAAAGATATGTTTTGTCACTAAAGCAAACAGCTCATGCTGAAGACCCACATAAAACAGGGCAAGGGTGGCATCTTATTAGAAACTAATTGGTTTAGCAACCTACTTTATCCACCCATAGCAAATAGGTCTGTTGAGTACAAAGGTGCCTTTTGATACAAGTCATTTTTTTTTCCTTTTTTGCCCCTTCAAGTTGAAGAGCAAAATCTTTTGTTGGTAGGGAACACCAAAATGTTCTGTTTGGGTTTTTTTTAAATGAAGTACAGCCTTCAAATGATCAACAGCCAGATTAGATATGCAATTCTTGAAACACCGCTATATATATTCATCCCTTTGTACACACTGAAAGTGTAAAATACTGAAAGGGTTTACAGAAAAGCTCTTGAGGATGACAAACTGTATGTTTGTTAACACCAGAATGTGTCTAAGCGGGAACACACTATTAGGGAGACAGCAGGATAGAACTAGTTTGGAGGTAACCAAATCGTGCTACACTACGATGTCTGCGGTACACTATGACTTAGGCCTGCCTCCAGACTTGCTTTCTAGCCTTAACATCCTACATTTCCTATACAGGCAGTGCTCGACTTACGGCGGTTTGAGTTATGATGAACCGCAGTTACGACATTTGTAAAACTGACACCTGGGTTTCGAAGTTCCAACAT